TTCTTAAAGGGAAAAACCTCCCCGACCCCTCTCCTTTCTGGCTTCCCCCTCTGTTTCTCTCCTCCTTCCCCTTCTCCTTCTATGTTTCAACCAGCCAGGCAACACCTAAACAGAAAGAGCTTTTCATGGGCACATTTTATTGTTCTGAGTAGGAAGAGATGGTTTATACACTGGAGGAGTTCACCATGGGAGAGAGGTGCAGGGACAAGTGATTATGACTCTGTGGTGGGGCATGAAGAGGCATTGACAGAACCACTGGACAGTCTTCATGGAGGACAAGTGAGCCTGAGCTGGGCCCTGGGAAATGAGCAGAAGATTGCTGGTGGGAGGAGCAGGGAAGGGTTAGTCTAGGAGGGCGTTCCAAGTGGAAGAAGGGGTCTATTCAGAGGTGTGGAATCTGATGTTTTATGGTGCAGAGACTGAAAAATGGCTGCGTGATGAGGAAGAGAGGTGCAAGAAGTGAGCTCCAAGGACATCTCAGAGGAGTGGACTGTGCTTTATAAAGTGAATCTGGATGTTGCCCACTAGACCCTGGACATCTTCCCAAAAGGGAAGGTTGGGTTTTGAGAAGTCCCCTCAGGCTTCAGTGAACACTATGGGAAGATGAGCCAGATGGGGAGAGGCTGTGGAAGGACCTGGTTCAGGGGACTATGGAGTGTGGGTAAGAGATGAAGCTATGGTGACCTGGTGAGGGGGAGAAGAGGTAGAACAGGTGACCAGTCATGTGTGGGAAGGGAAAGGAGCAGGGGAGTTTCAGAGCCTATTTGATTGAGATGAAGAGGGAATAAATCCATAGGGAACCACTCCCCCTCCACAAAATCCATTTTTTCATCCAGTATTTTTTAATTATTCTACCCCTTTAAAATCGTCTTATAATCAGTCTGTCTCAGAGATACTGTCTGCTTAATTCGTGGTTTCCTCATATCCTAACCTTGCTATTTGTACCCAGTCTTTCCTTTGTAGATAGATGTTCATGACAGGCACTAGTCTCCAACCTGGGGGCACAGTGATGGGAAGAGAAACAAGGTATATGCCCCCACAAAAGCCTCTAATCCACAGGAGTAGACAGACAGGAAGACATAACCTTAAATAGAGTTTGCCGGGGAGTTTATGGTATGAGATAAAGTTTGAGGGGTTGGTAAGAACCAGATCGTGTATGTCCTTATAGACCATGGGCAGGGCACTGAACCTTATCCTAGGAGCAATGGCGAAAAGCCAGCAGGGCCTATGGTGACTAAAGCAACAAGACAGGATTATGGGACTTTGGAGATTTTAGCAGCTAAGTATGGTGGTGTTGTAGATTGAGGTATTAGAGGTAATGTGTGGTACAAGTTTCACACATATATTTTCTACTAGCCCCATATGGACAAATTTGGAAATATTCAGTGTATTAATTATGTGTTATGCACATAACATGATTGATATGTGTAGCAAATGGGTAGGGATTTGAGCCAAGATGATATATGACATATTTATCTGAGCCATTTATAAAAGGTAGTACATTGGGGCCCAAGAACCTTGAGCTGTCTTAACTTTTTCTAATGAGGTGAGAAGGATTGAGAGGGGAAAAAAAATTTAGGTTGAAACAAGAAAATAAAAGTTCCTAGGAAAACTGTGATTCCTTCTGCTAACAACATCCCTTGCCAGAGGTCAGATGAGGGGGGCAAGAAGATGACTGGATCCGAGTGCCCAATCTCCTAAGCCCTGGGAACCAGGGAAAAGAAACTTCATGTGCACATGAGTGGAACTGGTTCCCCATGGTCTCTGCAAGTACCAGTTCAGGTCTGATTCACTTGGGCATCTGTGTTCTTTGGTCTCTGTTGAGGAAAGTGTGAGTCATTCTTTGGATTGAGATAAACCAGTAGTGCCCAAGGGCCTGGGCTGTCTCAGAACAGGTAGAGTCTAGTCAGATGATGGGAATTTTCCATTTTATGGCAGCAATGGCCTGGGATTCCTAGAACAGGTTATTAGTCTTCACAAAAGACCTAATCCTTAGCTTAGAAGACTGTATTGTAGATTCCTGGTCAGATCAAATACTTGTATGGTTTAGTTTCCTGCCAATGTTTGTGATCCTGTACCTTTCAAGGAAGAATTGACTAAGTCATGTATAATTGAATCACTACATTGAGATATTTTTAAATCATTTTCAAGATAGTTATATTTTAACTTTCAAAATCTTTTTGTTATGATTATAATGATGCTTTATATTTACCTAATGTATATTTACCTAATGTATATTATATATGTGACAATGTATTTGTATACTAGAAATTTTTAGGTAAATATTTCTAGTATACAAATATATTGTCACATCTTTTCTATTTGCTACATACAACCACTCTGCAAGTGAACAGAATAGTAACCCTGTTTTTATAGATATGGAAATGGGGAAGTGGAAAAATGAGTGGCTGCCCCACATAACTTGAAGGAGATTTGGAATTGAATCCTGTTAGTTGACTCTAAGGCCAGTGTTCTCCTGCATCCTGAGTGAGAAGTTCCTCAATTAAGGTGGAGATGAGTCTATGATATTTGAACACCATTAGGTAATGGGCTCTAGCAGTGCCATTACACATCTCATCTCATTGAATCCTCACAACTACAGGGAAGTTATCACCATGTCCACTTTATTGATGAGAAAAATTTGCTCTGAGAGGTTAAGTAACCAACCCAGGCTTGAAAATGGTGGCACTGATCTGACTTCTTTCACTAATAGCTTTCCTGTACCGTCTCACAAGGAAAGATCACACCACGTATGAAAATTATTAGATAACAGCAACACCAATTTTCAGATTTACTAAATTGTTCTCTACTCTTAGACAAAGGAAAACACAGTTTTTCTTAAATTGTTCTACAAAATAAGACCAATTTGCAAAAAAACTCAATACTTAGAAGAGAATAAGTCTGATAGTCTTAAATATTCTTTGGTCACATCATTTTTGACGGTATTTATAAAAACAATAGGGCAAGAAATTTCTAATCTGTGGAACTGATATGGCTGTCACAGGATCAATTGAAGATCTTGTGACTATTAACCCAGATAATGATTTGCTTCACCCTGATTTTTGTTATGCTAATTCCCTATTCCATTCTCTTTTTTCTGTTTAATTTTTTAGACTTTATTCCTTATATCAATAGGTTAAGAAAGTGAATTTTTCCCAGGTACTGATTTATAGATACTATTTATAAGTAGAATCAAAAAGTTCAGTTTCACAAACAATAGCATTCAGTGATCTCTTTAAATGCAAATTTAATCCTTATTTTAAGCTAAGGGCAATAATTTAATGCAATAAGCTAAATTCACACAAAACCTCTTAACTCTGAACTACAAAAGTGGTTTTTGTAGCTACATGTGGTTTTAGTCAACTACATATTTCCACAAATACTTATATATATGTTTAAAAAATACTACCCCAAATGCTTATCCTACCATTAGCTCATTAAACATTGTCATTCCTGCTACTGAAAGTAAATGATCAGGAAAATGAGTTCTAAAACTTAAAAAGTAACCTAAGTCCCAAAAGGTTTTAAATCAAAAAAGTCTTTCAACATGGAAGCATCAACATGAAACTTTAAGTTTCTAGAAAAATAAAAATAAAAAATCACTATTTAGAAAATATTAAAACAAATTATCATTTAAGACACATAAACATTCTTACAAAAACTTGTAGTTTCAAATATCATCTCCTTAAAAGAAAAACCAGTTCACTACCTTTAATAACATCTCAGACCACTGTTGTCTAAAAACTTCAGAATATGTATGTAAGGCATATGTCTCAGCAGTCATAGTCAAATGACATTTAGATTTCATATATTAAACAGCTATAGTATAGCTTATAATGGCACAAATATATGTAACAAATACTACTTCATCCTTTAGATAGTCAAAAGTCAGAAGGAACCGCATAATTTGTAAGGTAGTTTAACTTACATGTAGTCATTAAAACTCAGTAAGTAATTCAAGTATGGTCATGTAAAGGCAGGCAATTAAAGGCTCAAGGATCACTCTAAAATCAAAGACATGAAATTAAAGGCTGAAAACTTTGTTCCTCCATCTTTCATTTACATGCCTAGATATTAGGATATTACTGTACAAAATACACAATTATTATATATGATTTCCACAGAAGATAATGAAATTCCATGAAGTACAAAAATTATCAAGATCCGTAGTTTGTTTCATCGAATGCTTTTCTAGCTTGTTTCAATTCTTCATTCATGGTAAGCAAGTCTTTAACACTAGCAAACTTCCTTGGGTCCTTCTGAATCAAAAAGACGATATCTTCAACTTGTACTAGACCTTGTCTTCCAGTTGACATTGCCTTGTGAGTCATTTCAGTGATGAACTCTATTACAAGGTCTTCAAGAATATCCACTGACTCAGTGTAAGGATTGTGGTCATCCCGAAACCCATACGTCACACATCGTAATTCTTTAGAAAAAAATATCTTTTAGTCTGTCTACCTTCTGCACCTCCCCCAATTTCTTCATTTTCCTCCTCAAACATCCGGTCTTCTTCCTCATCGACCATCCCTCTAGCCCACCAGCCCACAGCCTATTATTCCATTCTTTACCTTTGAACCCAGTTAGGCTTGCTTTGTTTTCATTTCATGCTATTGTGTCTAGACCCATATTCTCTAATGGGAGAATCATAACAGAGACTTGGTTTACCTACTGATTGATATAATGAAATTTATGGAGTGGATTGTGCCTTGTTAGATAATTAGCATGGCTATATTTTCCAGTTTTAAAAAATGGCACAGCCACCTGGCACACGTCTGTAATCCCAGTAACTCAGGAGGTTGAGGCAGGAGGATCTCAACTTAAAGGCCAGCCTCACAAAGTTTCAAGAGCCCCTAAACAACTCAGAGAGATCCTGTTTCAAAATAAACTAAAAAATAAAAAAGGACTGGGGATGTGGCTCAGTGCTAAGTGTTCTTGGGTTCAATCCCCACTACAAAAAATAAAAAATAAAAAATAGTGCAAACATGCTTTTATCCTAGGCAACTGCCACATTAAGAAACTTGGTTGATTCACCGCTAGCAAGAAGTAAGTTCTTGAGCATCTGCACCCTTCCCCAGCTCTGCACAGTGATGGAGCAGTACATGGATGACAAGGACGTCTGTACCAATATTGCCAGAATATTCAGGTAGGTAGACTAAGAGAATGAAGTAGCCTTACAAAAATGCTAATGCTTGGGTTTCGGATTATTTGCAATGTTTGAGTGTGTGACTGTCAGGGAATTCTTTTTTGTCTTTTTTTTGCTTTTTATTTCCCCTAGCAGAAAAAGTAAATCTGGTGGGTCCAAATTTAGAATACATGATTTATGGATTCTGTTTCCTGTGTGATTGTCTTGCCACTCTGTATTCGCTAAATGTAGGTCATTTTAGATCTTTGGTGAATTGTGAGCTATCCCTAATGTTCTTGTTTATTTCTGTGTCCCACGATAGATGTCGAACTTCCTAGTATACCTGGAAATAATATTTCTCAGTTCATCTGTTACAAGTGTGATCTGATTTTGTATTTTATTCCAATGGTTTGAACTTTGGTTCACACATCCACTAATCATGTCTGCACTTTACTCCAGACAGGATGGTCATTTATATCCAGGTTGTCTCAAAACAAGATGTTGTTGAATTTCAGAGCTGTCTTTAAATTACATATTTGTATTTTTTCCCTTACTTTTATTTGCCAGCATTTTAATATAATGATTTTTCTCAAGAAACCTGGTACTATCTTTAACTATTAAATTTCCTGAAAACCAGATTGGTAATTGACCCAAAGTATGAGGCTATTGAGTCCAGATTTTATTTCTTTCCTGAACTTTGTTCTGGATCTTTAATTACTCCCATTTTGAAGCATTGTAAAATTGCAAAGAGTTTATGTTTTGTGGATGGTGGCATATAGGGAGTCCAAGTTAATCTTTTTTTTCCATGTGGATGGATGGTCCGTTGTCCAGCATCTTTTTGAATATGCTGTCCTTTTCTTATGGACTTTCAGTCATTTATATGTTTCCAAATTACTGCAGGACTGTTTCTGGGCATTCTATCTGGTCCATCCTCAGACCAGTAAGTGCTACATTGCTTTTACTATTATAGATTTAATTTTAATCTTGCTAAAAGATGAATCTCTCACTTTTTTTCTTTTAAGATCCAGACTCGTTCTTTTTTCTTCCTTATGAACTGAGAAATCAGTAAGTCTATGATAAGAACTTTAGGATATTTTTTCTTTTATTTGAACCCAGGGATTCTCTACCACTGAGCTACATCTCCAGCCCTTTTTATTATTTTTATTTTAAGACAGGGTCTCTTATTTTAAGACAGTTACTGAGACTGGGCGACTTATAATCCTACTACCTCAGTCTGTTTGAAGTGGGTTAATAGGCCTGAGCCACCACAGCAGGTTTTCCTGTCTTTAAATGAATTATTTTTATGGTCTCACCAGTGAAAAATGATGTTTCTTGTAGATTTTTATAGATACTTTTTAGAAAGTTCTGGAAAGATTCTTTCTCATTAAGCAAGGTTTTTTCAAATGCTTGCCCTGATTCTATTTTGGATACATAGATTTACTGTTTTCAATCTATTAATCTAGTAAATTACATTAAGATTTTCTCATATTAGTAGGCCATTATATATTGATGGGTCTGGTTAACTAATGTTTTAACCAGAGATTTTTCATCTCTGGTCATGAGTCAAGTTGATCTTTTCTTTTCCTTTCCTAGATTATTGTTTGTTTTTAGTGTCAAGTTTATACCTGCCTCATAGTGGGAAGTATTCTAATTTCTCTTTTCTAGAAGAATTTATGAAAATTATACTTATTTATGTATTTGTACCTGGGATTGAACCAGAGGTGCTTAACCACTGAGCTATATCCCCATCCAGGCCTTGCTAAATTGTGAGGCTGGCTATGAATTTATAATCCTTCTGCCTCAGTCTCCCAAGCCATTGGGATTATAGGCATGCACCACCATGCCCCTTTAAATTTATCTATTTTTTGAAAAGCACGTACAGACTAGAGGCATGTGCCACTGCAGCTGGCTAATTCAGTTTCTGCATATCTAGTGATATTTTTATTTCTCCTTGGCTCAGTTTAAAAAGTCATATTTTTTAGCATGGCATGGTAGCACATGCCTGTAATCCCAGCAACTCAGGAGGCTGAGGCAGGAGAATTATAGTTCAAGGACAGCCTGGACAATTTAGCAAGACTCTGTCTCAAAATAAATAGGGATGGGGATGTAGTTCAATGGCAGAGTGCCCATGGGTCCAATCCTCAGTATCAAAATAAATAAATAGTTAAAATTTTATACGATTTTGTTCAATTCTCTAAGTTTTCAAACAATATAGAGTTCAAAAATACTCTACTTATCATCATTTTAGTGTCTGTTGCATCTTTCATTTACTTTACATATTTGATACTTGGATACTTAGTACATGATAGGCGATACTTTAAAAGAATTTTCCAAATACTAATTCATTTTATCCTTACATCAACTTGGTTTTTTATTTGTTTGTTTCTATTTTTTTGGTACTAAGAATTGAACCTAGGGTCACTTTAGCACTGAGCTACATCTCCAATCCTTTAATATTTTTTAAAAATTTTGAGACAGGGTCTTCCTAAGTTGTTAAGGATTTTGCTAAATTTCTTTTTTTTTAAAATTTACTTCATTATTTTTAGTATCTTCCATTCAAATAACAAATATATATTCTATTTTTTAATTTTTAAATTGATTTAAAAAAATAACAGCAGAATGCATTACAATTCTTATTACACATATACAGCACAATTTTCATATCTCTGGTTGTAAATAAAGTATGTTGAATCCAATTCGTCTCTTCATACATGTACTTTGGATAATGATGTCCATCACATTTCACCATCATTGCTAACCCTCTGCCCACTCCCTTCCTCTCCCACCTCTCTGCCCTATCTAGAGTTCATCTATTCCTCCCATGCTCCCCCTCTCTACCCCACTATGAATCAGCCTCCTTATATCAGAGAAAACATTCAGCATTTGATTTATTGGGATTGGCTAACTTCATTTAGCATTATCTTCTCCAATGCCATCCATTTACCTGAAAGTGCCATGATTTTATTCTCTTTTATTGCTGAGTAATATTCCATTGTGTGTATATATGTCACATTTTTTTTTATCCACTCATCTACTGAAGGGCATCTAGGTTGGTTCCATAGTGGATCTTGCTAAATTTCTAAATTTCCTATGGTTCTTGTGTCTCAGCCTCTACAGTCACTGGAATGACAGGCATTGCTTCTGCACCTGGCCTTATATCAACTTTTAAAGATAGGTTCCATTATAAGCAGGTGTGTTGGGGTAGGCCTGTAATTCTGGCTATTGGGGAGACTGCAGCAGGAGGATTTCAAGTTTGAGGCCCGGCTGTGCAAACTAGTGCATCTCTGTCTCAGAACAAACTAAAAAAGACCTGGGGGTGCAGCTCAATGGTAGAGTACTTGCCATGAGTGAGGTCCTGGTTCAAATCCAGGACTGGAGGGAAGTATAGAGAAGATATTGTCATCTTCATTTGACAGATGATGAAACTGAGGCACAGAAAAGATCAATAGTTTTCCTAAAATCACACAGTGAGTTGTAGGACAACAAATCAAACCGGTTATTCTGGCTCTAGAATTCATACTTTTAACAAATATGTTATACTGCCTATTCATTATTAATATTGATTTTATTTCTAATTTTGATTTTTATCTTTTTTTCTTGATAAGCCTTGAAAAAGTTTGTCAGTTTTATTAGTTTTTTTTTCTTTTTTCAATTTTTTATTGGTTATTTCTTGTACTACAGATTAATTTTAGAATAATCATTTCAAGTTCAAAAGTAAGGTTTTTTTCCTTTAGTAGACTTGAATTTAATTTTTTTTATATTTTTTTATTGGATGTTCAAAACATTACAAAGCTCATGATATATCATCTTTCATACATTTGACTCAATTGGGTTATGAACTCCCATTTTTACCCCAAATACAAATTGCAGAATCACATCCGTTA